AAACTTTCGGAACGCCGATGTAGTGCCTCCAGGACCTCTTTCGCTGTCTTGTGGTAAGAGTACACTTCAGTTTGTTGCCCATTGGCTACGCCTCGCACACAATTGCTCCGTAAACAAACATAGAGTGGGCCCTATCCGCTTGTTGCGCTAGGGCCATGTTGCGGGATGTCTGTTGTCACAGCATGGGATGATCCACTTAGATTTGCTTACTCAATTGTCTTCAGGTACAGAGAGCAACGCTCGCCATCATAGTCTATACATGCAGCGTGAATGGCGCTACGTTCGAGATGACTGTAAAACTTAACATTATTACTGCTATTCAGCTTTATTTGTATTATTATCATACGTATTACTACTACTGATACTTCTTATTCCTTTTTCTATTATGGCTTGCATGATCAACCTGTCCATTGCGAAGTTGGTAAAAGTTGCGCTTGGTACGTGTTCCATGCGCGCATCATCAATCCATGTGATGCAGGGGAGAGAGCAGACCCTAAACCCAGACGCCAGAGACGAGAGGTGTTGCTTGAATGAAGCAAAAGGCTTACAACCACCAGTGGGGTTTCCCAAAATGAGCGCTACCTTTTTGGGTGTCCCTATAGTGATAAGGATTATAGCATTTTGGGGTCGATATTTGTGTATATTTGGGTCTCCTTTTTTGGGACACTACCAAATTGCTTCAGCATGTTTGTTGCTAAAGGTCCTTGACACAGAGCTACCCCGCATGCGCTTTCGCGAAGCGCGGGAAAGCCTTTCCTCGCTTGCGTTGTTACTAGTAGTAATAGTAGTAAAAACTGTAATCGTGTTGATTCTTCCAGGTTACACGCAGAACATTGCTAGGAAAGCGTGCTGGATTGCAATTGGTTGTGCCGTGATCATGGTTTTCAAAGAAGCCGAAGTGTTTTCAAATCCTGTTGCCCTTTATCCCAGACTCTCACTATTACTATTACTAGTACTAGTACTAGTACTAGTACTATCACTATTGCTATTACTATTAGCTTGGCCCTGAGCACTCAGGTGAAGACCCCCCCCCACCCCAATGGTTTAGGGTGTAGGCCCCCCCCCTTTTTTTTAATTATCAAACTCGTCCCATTATGTGGGATGTTGTACTATATCGGTAGTATTTAATATAGGGGAGGTGGGCAGGTTTATTATTAGGGGGAGGGGATTAGACGTCAGTGGGCCAACGTGGAGAAGACTTGCCACGCTGGAGTCTGATTATGCATTTCCACGCCTGTTTTGACATGTGCTTTCAAGGCAGCATCCTTTACATGTACGAAGTACAAAATATGAATTCGATTCCGTTTTGGCCATAGTCCACTGCTCTGAAGGTTGTCAACTTGGCAACCCTAGCTTCCAAACAAAGAGGTTTCGTGTGTTTGGTAGTAAACGAACGGCTCCATGTGACGCGCAATAACTTCCTGTGATCTGTAGCCCTTGCGATCTTCCAAATGTAGGTATCATCATTTATTGTTGTGATCTTTGCTTGTTTTCGTATTCCTGGACAGGACATGGACAGCCAGCGTGTGCAGCGGGACGTCATCAGTCTCGTGGCAATGCATAGGGGCCTGGAATTTGAACAGCATGTTCAGGGTTTTTTTGTGGAGGTCGAAAATTAGGGGTACATTTTGGGGTGTCCCTACTATACCGACTATCGGTTTTTAGGATTGTTTATTGTCTTTTTTGGAGTGCCAGTTTTTTAAAGCATTTCGCAGATTTCCAGCAGCTGGTCAGCCGAGATTGGGAGGTCGCCGGCATGATGTTGCCGAATTGTGGGCGTATAGCTCAACGCTGTGAGCGCAACGCTGCCACAACTCTGATTGATTGATCGATGCGTCAGATGAATCCCCAAGTGCAGCATGATTTGACCCCCTGCTATTCAGTGAGCGAAAGATTTTTGAGACTCGGTTAGTTTCCCAGCAAAAGACCCCCTTCTCATTTTGACAAGCGTAGTGTTAAGACACGAGAGTACTTCTAATTTTGGTTTGAAGTTTTCCGCTACACGGAGATAATTCGCCATGAAGTTGCCCTAAACCCTAAACCCCTAAACCCAAACCCCCTAAACCCTAAACCCTTTAACTTTCATTCAGCTGCTGCTAGCCCAGCGAGTAAGAGGACTGTTGGGGGATCCCTGGGAGCCTCTGGAGCTCATTCTAATCCCCCTATGTAGGGCTAGGGTTTAGGGGTTTAGGGGTTTGGGGTTTAGGGGTTTGGGGGTTTAGGGGTTTAGGGGTTTAGGGTTTAGGAGTTTAGGGTTTAGGGTTTAGGGATGCTGGAAAAGAACATGGAAACTACAGGGATTACAGGGGTTCTAGGGTAATATACACTATTGGAATGTTGAAGCCCCGAAGTGCAGCACCCATGCATCCTGTATACTCGTCATCTTTCTTTTAATTCAGTTTAAGGTCTAGGTTAGGTGGACCCCCCACCCAGTCATAGTGACTATAAGGGATAGTAGGGATTATATTAGGGTCCTCTTATATTCCTATTAACCCACCATTACAGTGTGGGGGGTCCTCCTAATGTTTAGGGTTTAAGGTTCTATCCTTTGCTTATCTTGTGAACAACTTGCGATGCACTACACAATCTCTACCGGCTCGACTAAATTCATGGGGAGTTACAATGTTCTTAAGGCGCAAAGCAAACATGACGGCTGACACCTAGGTGACGATCTCTTGTGTGATAATACAAGGTATGTGACAATTGTATAATGGACCCTAAACCCTCCACCCTGAACCCTAAACCCTGCATCATAGCCAGTTTAGGTTGTGAGACCAACAGCTACAGTTAAAACTACCTATCTATAGTCTAAACTCCTTAAAGGGGAGTTATATAGGGATTATATGAGGGAGTATAGTAGAGGTTATGGCTCACATAGGCCCGATACCCTGAACTGTAAAATCCCAAGCTCTAAGCATTCAACATGGGACCTTCAACTCTAAACCCTTAACCCTGAACGCTGAGCCAAAAACTCTGAACCCCACACTGAAACATTAGACTCTGAACCCCAAACTCCGAACCCTAAACTAAAAACCCTAAACTGACAGTCAAAACCGCTGGCCCACGTACTGTCTAGCAGAAGGTTCAAGCTCTGCTATGAGCGCTTGTGAGAAAGCCGCAGCCGCGGGGCTACATGAGCTGGAGTCAACATCAAGGTTACCAAGGGACCATAGTCTTAATCAGGGTTTGAGGTTTAGGGCTAAGGGTTTACTTTTTTTTTAGGGTTTAGAGTTTCCAAGGGGCCATGAAGGGCGAACATAGGGGTGCCCTTGGTATATGTATATATGTATGTCGATCTGTTTATCTATCTTTCTACCTATCTATCTATCTATCTATATATATATATAGTTTACAAATCAGAGGAACCCCATATACACTCACCGAGAATCATAACAAAGAACTACTTCAGTTATTTCAGATTCACAGTGTCACAGTAAGCTCACGGGCTTAGGAAGAAGGGTTCAGGGATCAAGGCTAGGAATAAGGGGTTCGCATCAGGGCTTGAGGGTTTAGGGTTTAGGAATAAGGGTTTAGGTATGAGGCTTCAGGGTTGAGGATTTTCGGTTGTCAAGAGGTCTCCTGCACTTCGTACAGTTCAAGAGACGAAGTAGGTACCAGTATGGAGCTACAAAACCAAAAGCACCTGAAGAAATTGATTTATGCGATCGTACATTATTCATGTGTCGCACCCCATGCCACCCTAAACCCTAAACCCTAACATGTCATGACTTTAAACTCTCCTTGTCTTTGCTACTCAGACATTTTGGCCTGAGCTGCCACTGGAAGTGCAAAGCATGTGAGAACCCAAATCCTAAACCCTAAGCCTAAGCCAGGGTTGTGGGGTTTAGGGTTAAGGATTTAGGGCCTAAGCCCTAACATGTAAACCCTAAGCCCTAAATCAAAAAACCCTAAGCCCTCTGATTTTTGTGGAGGTTGCAGGGACTTTTGTGGGCCTCGCTGTAAAGCGCTCTGCACTGCTGGTCAGTGGAGAAACTGTCCGGCCCCCCCCCCCAAAAAAAAGATAATCCTAAACCCTAAGACCAACAGCCTAAACCCTAAAGTTGCTTTCTTGGGGTTCTTGTATTGCAGATGCGTGAGTTGAGGGCTTAGCCAAGCTCTGCCAACATTTTTGCAGAAAGGGTCCCTACTTGGAGGGGCAGGGGGACTTAGTAAGTATAGGGTTTAGGGTCGGGTGTAGGGTAGAGGGTTTAGGGTAGTTCAGGGACTTAGTAAGTAGGTAAATAATGGCGAGAATGGGGGGGTACTTTTTGGCGTTTAGGGGTTATAGGTATACTTACTACGCCCCCTCAACCTCCCAGTAGTTGCTAAATTCACTCAGGTTTCCGCGACGCACAACAGCGGTAAATGAGGCTTGGGAAGTTCCGCCACTGTCCTTTCGACACACTATCAATCCCGCGCACCCAGGACTCACTTACAGAGTTTCAGTAGAAGTCCACAAAGGCCAAGATGATGAAATTTCTGAGTTACTGTTACGGAACAAAAATTAAGTTGCCATCATGAGTATATATCGTAAATAATAGGGTTTCTCCAGTCACATGATTCAAATTAATTTCCTTAACAGCAACCCAGATTTGCGGGGCTTTCCTGCAAGCAGGGTCCCCGCCCCGCCATGCTTCTGCGAACGCATAGAGCCTATTGCAGCATGGTGCATGATCCTTTTGATTCGAATTTGAGTCTCCGTTATTTCAGTCAAGTAGGCCGTAAACCCCAAAACCCCGAACCCTAAACCGTAAACCCCAAACCCTTGAGCCCCTAAACCCTAGATCCTAAACCCAAAACCCTTAAGCCCCTAAACCCGCTAGATCCTAAATCCTAAACCCTTAAGCCCCTAAACCTTATAGTGACCCTTAAGTAGATAGACTATGGCTTTGGGTGTAGTACAGTAAGATCCCCATATACCCCATATTCTATACTTAAGGGGGACTATAAACCCTCTGAGCAAGGCATGGCAATCAGCCGTGGGGCTTCTGGAGAACATGACACGCTCGGAGGCCAGACGGATGCTGCTGTGTTAGGGTTTAGGGTTTAGGGTTTAGGGTTGAGGCTTTCATAGGTTTAGGCTTGATGTGCGGTGTAGGGTGTGAAGTCTATAGAATCATACGTGGGGTCTGGGGTTTTCATAGGGTTTAGGGTATAGGCATGAGGTTTTAAGGTTCATATAGGAATTTAAGGGTTAGGGTGACACCGTGGGCCAGCATTGCCAAAGGTATACAGCAGCTGTCTAAGGAGCCTGTACGCATCTTGACAGTCAAGCAGATCCTTTATGTGTGCAAAGCAGAGCCCGCTACACACACACATACATGCGAGCTCAATGTACATAGGATTTGCGCCATAAGGGAGATGCTTGAAGGCATTGGTAGAACATATCATTTTCTCAAATCTTGAGAGTATCCCCACTTTGAGAAATTCCTACTCAACTCCAAACCCTTAAACCTTACATCCCCCGAGCCCTGAAGGTTGAACCCTAAACTCTCAGCTCAGAACTTAAACATACGCAGATCCGCTGTGACGTCGTGTGTTTGGGCGCCGCGCTGGCTGCGCTGGCGGCAGGGTCAGAGCCACTCCGCTAAAATCCTGGGAACTCTTGGAGAAATCTACTGTCACAGTTGTTTTTTGAGGTTTAGGGTTTAGGGTCTAAACTCCTGGCATCCCCCTGATAACCCCTATAGTAGTCCCCTATATAGTCTCCCGTTTAACGCTTTTTAAGAACTCTAGACTATAGCTCAAATCAAGGTCTAGGGTCCGGGGGTCGTGGGCTTCCGGGGTTTAGGTGTGTGAGAGCCTTGATTTTAGGTAATTTAGTGGCCTCAGCACGCATGTCCTGACGTACGACCCGCACGATTTTAAAATTTACGTGCCCAGCACGTACGTTCTGAAGCATGGTAACATGATCGGTAGCTCTTGGTTGAGACTGACTCTCTTTTTCTCAGGCAAGAAAATATCTGGGCCGCAACTATTTGCACTCTTGAAGAAGAGTTTTATATCCTGTGTAGACAGGTACCTATGACAGCCAGAACTTTCTCACAAGGTTTGATGTACGTCAACTTTCGATTGCAGTTGCAGCTGTGAGGTAGAATAGTTTAAACATCTTTAAGAGACAGAGCCTCCATGGCTGCGGAGCATTTTGATGCAGCTCCTGGCAAATGGCATCAGCAAGGACTTTCTGGGAACAGTCTGACGTTCCTGAAAGCCCAGGCGCATGACATGATATCCGAGCGCATTTTTAAGCTTCAGAAAACGCATTTCGAAGGTGTTATTTAGGTCACAGATGGGGGCCAAGATGTTATAAGTGTTGGTTGTCAGAAGATCAGAGATCTATACAAAAGCCCATGAGAAGGATTTCAAAGCCAGTTCTGGAAGTGAGCATTTTCCGTGCCAGGCCGCATTGACTGTTGTGTGGCGAATGACAAGCACAAGTATGTCTGCAAGCGTTGTTCTTGGACAAGCGTGCAGAGAAGCACCAACAGATTGCTTGAGCATGCTGTGTTTGGCACACATCTTCACGCTTTACTCCTATTTGACACTTCACGGACTTGAGTCGAAGCATCAAGTGGCTGATGATATGAAGCAGTTTATTGAGAAGTACCGTTCATCAGGGAAATGCACGGCTCCTTGTGCAGACCCAGTCCAGAAAGATGAGGCCCTAATCATGGCAGATTCCGGAGAGGCTGCTGCAATCCTCTGGTGCAAGTTCAGCAGATGGCTCCCTTAAACATGGAAGCCTTCGCAGAGCACAAATGCCAACGCAGTTGCTCTTGCAGCGATGCGCCTGGGCACGCCTTGGATCAGAGATCAGAGAGGCTTTGCTGAATCATTATTAGCTTTAAGGATTTCCGTAGGGGGCCTACGTGCCGAA